AATTTTAAAGTATTTAACAAGAAAATACATATTGATTTATTTTGGTTGTACATATTTATTGGACAACCCAAACTAAAAACGGACTTTAGCAGTGAATTCAGCACACTCAAAAGTACTTTATTACCATATTTAATAGTCTTATTTTATAAAATATGATTATTTTTCACTAACTTAAAAATATCATGTGCACTCTAAACACCGTGATCCTGTCACGGTATTTAGAAAATAGCAATCTTACATTGCTAATCACCGTGATGCAGTTTTCTAAAATATAATTTCAATAACCAGCTTAAAATAGGTTTATAACAAAACAGTAACACATATTAGTTCAAAATATACGTCTATTGTCTATGTAACATAAAAATATACTAAACTAAAGCTTATTCCACTCACCTCATTCCTTGTTTGAATCACTAAGAACCTTAAGGAAAACACCTGTTTCAAGAAACGTCAACATTCAAACTGACAAAATGAGCCAGATGACATGGCACCAGCAGCCATAAAAGACATTTAAAATAAACTCCAAAAGTTGAATTTACTTCTTATATAAAGATTAAACGTCTTTGACCAGCAATATTATTGTTATTGGCGGGAAAATACAAAAATCACGGTATTTGGGTGAGTCACGGTATTTGGCAATTTACCTAATTAAGTAAAATGAAAATTTTTATTTTACAGAAATTGTTATGCATGTGAGTTGATAAAAACAGTTCTTATTTCTATTGGAACTAATTCTTCATTTAGTGTTTTAGATTCACATTATTTGTAGCTAAATGTTGCAAAGTTAATAGCGAAATTATATTTGTTCGCTGCATGTGCAGTTCTCGCACTCATTGTTGGTTGAGGAAGCTTATAGGCCTAGTCTTAAATTATTATTATTCATTACTGTCTTGTATAGGAAACAAATATAATCAGTTGGGGTACATTTGAACAACATGCTTACCAGAGCAAAACATGGTGTTCAAATGTACCCCTCAGACTCTGTTCAAAATCTACCCCACTAGGTAGGCTACCATTTTGCAAAAAGTTAAATGATGTTTTCTTGAATTGTAATTTATCAATGTGAAGTGCATAATTAATTGTATCTAAATATGTATAAGCCATAAGGTAAATGGATCAAACTTATCAGTAGGCTAATGTAGTTTTTCTATGGAAAATCTACAAATGCCTACTGCTAAAAAAGTTTTCTTGTGGCGCTCTAAAACTTCTTTTCACAACAACAAACTAAGAACTAAACAGAAATGGAGGGAGATGAATGCAACCTGTTGTCCTATTGGAGGGCTACATTTTACAGCTGGTCCAATGGCCTGCGAGTATAAAAATTACGGCAAATTTAAACCGTTCAAATGTGCCCACTCTCCCAGTAAATATTTGCCTATTGTATAAAGTTATAACTTTTTTATGACTTTATGACTTCAAAAACAAATTTTAACAAAAATTAAGATAATTAAGTTTATTCTAAGTTAGATCTAATTTTTGTACTTTACTATAATATGATAAATATTAGCCTTCATGTAAGTAATTTGTAGGAAATACAAAATACAAAAGCAAAATAAAACAACGGAAAATGAAGAGAAAAAGAAATATATATGTATAGCCTACCTTATAACAAATATATGACTAAAGCAGTAAGAAATACATTAAAAAATTTGGATATAAGGGTAAGTTACAGAACTAAGAACAATATATTCCAATTAATCAATAAAAAAATCAAACACACAGAAGATAATGAATGGTCTGCGCGCATTTTTCGTTTAAGTGTACATAACTCATTATAAGATCGATATATTTATGTTATAAGGTTCATTCTTATAATAAAATGAAACTTCGGAATCTTTCCACTGGTATAAGTTAAGAGTTACCTATGTCATTTCACCGACTTTAAATGTGCTTAACATGCAACTGAAAAAAACTTTACGGTAAATATGCATTTTAGGGTTTGCACGCGATTTTTGAAATTTTTTTTTTCATTCTACTCGAAATTTAACGCTGATTCCGAAAATGATGTTCTTTTTCCGCGGAAAACGACCATAACGCGGAAAAACGACCAAAACGACAAAAAAAACTTTTTTTACCAAAACACGTCATGTGGGTACTCAAATTAACCGTAATATTAAGCAGATCACGACTATGCAAGAATTTTTTGGATCCGAGGTCAAATAAGCGAGATTTACACGTAAATATGCGATAATATTTTGGATTTTTGCTCCAACTTTTGTCTGTGTTAAAATACCAGCTGATCAGGATCAGCTGGTCATTATTTTATTATGATTGTTTATGTTTTAATTTAACAGGTAAAAGGGATGATACTAAGCATAACCTATCTTAACCTAACCTAAAATAACCTAACCAATCTAACCTAACTAACCAACCTAACCTAACCAGCCTAACCTAACCAACCTAACCTAACCTAACCAACCTAACCTAACCAAACCAAACTAACCAAACTAACCTAGCCAACCTAACCTAACCAACCTAACCAACCCAACCTATTCTAACCTACCCAACCTACCCTAACCTACCCTACCCTAACCTAACCAACCTTACCCAACCAACCTAACCTAACCTAACCAACCTAACCAAACTAACATAAACAACCTAACCAACCTAAACTGACCAACCTAAACTGACCAACCTAACCTAACCAACCTAACCTAACCAACCTAACCTAACCTAACCAACCCAACCTGACCAACCCAACATAACCTAACCAACCTAACCTAACCTACCCTACCCTAACCTAACCAACCTTAACCAACCAACCTTAACCAACCAACCTTACCTAACCTAACCAACCTAACCAAACTAACCTAAACAACCTAACCATCCTAACCTAACCAACCTAACCTAACCTAACCAACCTAACCTAACCAAACTAACATAAACAACCTAACCAACCTAACCTAACCAACCTAACCTAACCAACCTAACCTAACCTAACCAACCTAACGTAACCAAACTAACCTAACCAACCCAACCTAACCTAACCAACCCAACCTAACCAACCCAACCTAACCTAACCAACCTAACCTACCCTACCCTACCCTAACCTAACCTAACCAACCTTAACCAACCAACCTAACCTAACCAAACTAACCTAAACAACCTAACCATCCTAACCTAACCTAACCTAACCAACCTAACCTAACCTAACCTAACCAACCTAACCTAACCTAACCTAAAAACCCCGAATTCCCACCTGTCCCCTAGTGAGTTGGAGTTATTGCTGATAGTATCACGTTTTCGTGAAAATCTAGGTTGGTTAGTTAGGTTAGATTGGTTAGGTTATTTTAGGTTAGGGTAGGTTAGGAGTTAGGTTATGCTTAGTATCATCCCTTTTACCGGAATGGGCACACGGAAGGGACTAAGGCTAAAGGTGTAGTGACGTCATATCTCTAGTGGGTAATGTCTTCTCTTGAGGCGACACGATTACCGTTACGAAACGATGTGATTTCAGCGGCGTTCGTGGCATAGTTGGTAGCGTCTCGGATTGGTGTACAGGAGGTCCCGGGTTCGAATCCCGCTGGTAGCACTGACTTTTTGTCAACAAATTTTTCATATCAGCAAGTTTGGTTGGTTAGGTTAGGTTATGACAGTTTAATTGTATAATACTACATTTTAAAATTAATTTTATAATTAATTAAAAATTATAAGTAATTATTAATTAGATTTTTATCTTATATAGTTTTTGTATTATCAGCAAGTCTGGTTGGTTAGGTTATGTTATGACAGTTTAATTTTAAAAATTAAAAATTTATTTTATAATTTTAAAACAATATTTTATAATTAAAAAGTTAATTTTATAACAAAAAAAAAATAATTTAAATTATTTCAACTTAGCAGTTCTAGCGGCGAACGCTGAAACTACAAGATATGTTAGCCTTAGTCCCTCCCGTGTGCCCCACCGCCCTTTTACCTGTTAAATTAAAACATAAACAATTATAATAAAATAATGACCAGCTGATCCTGATCAGCTGGTATTTTAACACAGACAAAAGTTGGAGCAAAAATCCAAAATATTATCGCATTATTTACGTGAAAATCTCGCTTATTTGACCTCGGATCCAAAAAATTCTTGCATAGTCGTGATCTGCTTAATATTCCGGTTAATTTGAGTACCCACATGACGTGTTTTGGTAAAAAAATTATTTTGGTCGTTTTGGTCGTTTTTCCGCGTTATGGTCGTTTTCCGCGGAAAAAGAACGTCATTTTCGGAATCAGCGTTAAATTTCTAGTTGAATGAAAAAAGAAATTTCAAAAATCGCGTGCAAACCCTAAAATGCATATTAACCAACTTTACATAAATCGACATATTCTGTCGCCCGCCACTCCAGCGGCACATTTTGAAATCGACATTTTCTGTCGATCTGCCACTCCTAGGGTTAAAACTAACCAACTTATATCGAATGAAACAATCGAATAATTAATATTTTCATTCGGTTGTTTGTGCTAACAGATACGGAAGTCTACCCAAGTTAAATCATTTGACTTAAGTCTCACCTAAGTTAGGTCTACTAACTAGTCTTACCTTTCAAAACTATAATCCATTTATAACAGACAACTAATTAACTTAAGTTAACTGAAATAAAATTTTAAAAGAAAATAACTTAACAATTAGGCCTATTTGTTAGCCTATATCAGTGTTCAAATCCCTAAGAACCATTTCTCATGTAACTTAAAATAGACCAAATTAATCACATGGGGCATTAAGATCTACGAGATAAAAAATAGTGTTATATGCCTAGCTTAATATTGTCAAACAATACAGCTAACTACAAGAACACATTCAAAATGAAAACGCCAACTTCTTAGACTGAGATGTTTTTCTTCGCAGTTCATTATTAGCTAATCAAATGAATGTAAGCTCTGGCTAGTCATTAAGTGTTTATTTATTCCTAAAATTACTTTTATGGGCAAGTTACAAATACATCCTTACAGTTAAGCAGGGTCTTAAACAATCCAAATCAGTAAAAATGTATAAAGTAATTGATTGAACTTACATAGTCCGCTTCAATTAACTTTGCTGGGTCAACAGCCAAATGCAACAGTCCGGTCGTACAGCAAGAATTAAAGTAAAAATATGATAAACTATAATATGCAGATTTATTTTACTTTGTTGAATTCAAATATTGTTAATAAAACTCATAAACTTGGGCCTATCAGTCAACTTTTACGGTGAAAATCGTTCTTCTGTCATAAACATTCAACTGAACAACCAAAATGTCCAAAATAAAATACCGAACCGATAAAAGAAAATGGCGTCACTGTGGAGTGGAGTGGAGTGGACTGTGGGTGGAGTGGACTTCGGGTGGGTTGGTGGGGGTAGCGGATTTGTATCCCCCTGGGCAAACTTGACGTCACAAACCAGGGGCCCATTTCATAATAAAGTACAAACTAATATTATTAGTAAATCAGCTGATCGCCCAATGCAAATCTAATGGAAATTACAAGTTACAAGTTGTAACTTGTAACTTGTAGTTTATTATGAAATGGGCCCCAGGAGGTAAAATTCCGGCCGCAAACTTTTGAGTTTCGCGACATCAGCTCGATGGATTAAACGCGGAATTAAACATATATTTTCACGGTTGTGAATTTAATCAGAACACATCAAATTATAAAAACCTAGAGTGTATGGCCCGGATTTTTACCCCCGGAATTTTGCCCCCGGATTTTTACCCCCCGGAATTATACCCCCGGAATTTTACCCCCGGATTTTTACCCCCGGAATTTTACCCCCTAGTCAGAGAAATTAGTGATAATGACTAATTATCTTCATTCTGTTTTAATTTAATATTAAACATTTTATTATTAAGTAGCCTATCTTAATTTATTTGTAATATCAACTAATCGAACAGGTTTTTGATTTTAATTTTGAGATTCGAGTATCAGGATTCGATCTTTGAAGCCAACTGTTGATTAATATGAATTAAAATTATAATTCTCAGAATTATAATTCTGATGTTTGTTTATACGTCATATTTATTTATTTATTTTATTTTATTTTATTTCCCAACGGCATAGCCACTTTACAATGTTTTTCATTGTAAAGTGGCTATGCCGTTGGGAAATAAAATAAAATAAAATAAATAAATAAATATGACGTATAAACAAACATCAGAATTATACAATGAAAAACATTGTAAAGTGGCTATGCCGTTGGGAAATAAAATAAAATAAAATAAATAAATAAATATGACGTATAAACAAACATCAGAATTATAATTGATTTTTTTTTACTTCAGTAACTTTTTTAACTTTTCAGTCTGTTGGGAAAATCACTATTGTCCAGCAAATTAACGGCTATATTGTTCGGGTGGGTTTCAAGTTTTTCTTTATAGTTCTTGCTAATTCTTGTTATTTCTTCAATTACTGTAGGTATTCTGAAATCTTCATGGATTGTTCGATTCGAAACAAACCACGGGGCATCAACTATTCTTCGCAGTGCCTTTGACTGAAATCTTTGAATAATTGCTAAGTTGGATTTACTTGCCATTCCCCAAAGCTGTATCCCGTACGTCCAAATAGGTTTGATCATAACTTTGTAAAGTGTGAGTTTATTAGTCAACGAAAGCGTTGATTTTTTGCCTAGAAGCCAGTTGAGTTTACGAACCTTCAAGTCCATTTGTTGTCTTTTACACCAAATATGTGTTTTCCAGGTTAATTTTTACATGTGGAATCCTAAATACTTAACGCTGTCCGCTTCTGTCAACGCTATGTTGTTCAAAGTAACTGGAGGGCAGTTTTCTTGTCTCAGCGTGAATGTAAGTAAAGATTTTGTTTCATTAACTTTAGTTCTCCATTTTTTTAGCCACAGTTCAAAATCATTTAATGTAACTTGCAATTGAATTGAAGCATCTTGAGGAGTTTAATGATTGGAGAGAAATGCAGTATCATCCGCAAACGTAGCAACCGTACTATTTTGGCCCACGGGGATGTCGGAGGTATATAGTAAATATAAAACAAGTCCAAGAACACTGCCTTGGGGTGCTCCAGAATGAATAGGCTTCAAGTCGGTTAAAATTTCTTGAAATTTAATCTGGAAGAATCGTTAATTTAAGTAAGATTTTAACAAACTGTAAAAAGAATGGAGGAGCAATGATTTAAGTTTATACAGAAGTCCAGTGTGCCACACTTTATCAAATGCCTGTTGTACATCCAGAAATGCAGCGGAACAGTACTTTTTGGTTTCAAATGAATTTTTAATTATGTCTACTAGTCTGTGGGTTTGTTCAACTGTAGAGTGTCCTTTCGGAAAGCCAAACTGATGCTCAGGAATCAAATTTAAGTCTTCTATAATTGGGTTCAATCTTCTTTAGGATTAGTTTTTCAAATAATTTGAATACAAATAATTTGGATAATTGATTCGAAGATTTCTTTAACGATTTATTATACAACCGTGGTAAAACAATGTTTTTCGTTTGTATTGTAACAATAACAACATATGCCTTATTGTTTCTTTAAGAAGATAGTTCACCCAATTATTATTTAAATGCGCTACTCCAGTTTATTTAACCAACAGTTGGCCCCAAATGCAAATCCCGAACATCAAAATTAAACAGGGAATTCTGTTTACTTAGTTGAGATTACAAAATAAATAAATAAAGATACGCTACTAAATAATGAAATGTTTACAATTAATTAAAAACAAAAATAAGAAAATCAATCATTCAATTTCTAAAATCGGCCAGGTGGTAAAATTCCGGGGGGTAAAAATCCGGGGTAAATATCCGGGGGTAAAATTCCAGGGGGTAAAAATCCGGGGGTAAAATTCAGGGGGTAAAAATCCAGCCCGTACATCTTCAGTAGTCTTAACGCTAGTTATATGGACAGGGGGTAAAATTCCGGTTTTTATCGCTATCTAATTAACCGCGCTCTGGCTATTTTCATTAAACTTCCAAATCCGCGGGGGTAAAATTCCGGCCGCGAACAAACTTTTGGCCACTCAGGTTACTACGTCATAGTGACGTCAGCTTTGCCCAGGGGGTAAAATTCCGGCGACCCGGGTGGAGTAGTAGAGAGAGAAAGATAAGGGTAATGAGCAATTTAGTTTGGAATCGCGGTAGATAACAAATTACGGTAGATATTATTGATATTATCTTGGTCTGACAATAACCAGTGACTTAAAATGGCAGAACCAAGTAAACGCCACAGCAGCAAGACTGAAAGCTGTGTGTCACATGGTACGTAGGCTGCAATTGATAGTTGATCAAGCTGTACTGTTGAAAGTTTATTTTGGATGCTTCCATAGAATTATGAATTATGGTGTGATATTTTGGGGGAATAGTCCCTTGGCGGAGCGTATATTTTTGCTTCAAAAACGCATAGTAAGAACAATTGCGAGAGAACCCTACTTATCACATTGTAAACCAATCTTTATACAACTGAATATACTCACACTGCCTGCTCTGTTCATTCTTGAGTCTGCAGTGACAGTTAAAAGGAAGCCAGAACATTTTCAAAAAAATCAACAAATCCATAACTATTCAACGAGGCAGAAGGAAATGTTACATGTACCACAAGTTTCATCCAGTTTAGTGAGAGATGGACCAAGACCTACATGCATAAGAATTTACAATAAAATTCCAGCTGCCATAAGGGAAATTGAAGATGCAGAGAAGTTCAAATCCAAGTTTAAAGAATATTTAACGACTAGGCCTTACTACTCAGTAGAAGAGTTCTTAAATCAAGAATAGGCCAAAACTTTGACGACCATGGCACACCCGTGCTACTAATGGGATACCTACAAGTATCAAGTAAGTAAGTAAGTATACAGTACTAGCTGGCCCGACAGACGTCTTCCTGTTCTAATGTGGTTTTATGTCAAATGCTCGTCCATTTTCAAGATTTTTGAGCTCTTTCGCATGGCTTAATCATGTCCTGGTCGAAGTTAGTTGGCTACGCTCACTCACCTTTAGGTTGGACGGTTGGAGCTCGTTCGCTACGCTAACTCGCCTCCAGGTTGTTGTTTAAATTTCATTTTTAGAATTATTAACATTTTCTAATACAATGTAAGATGTGTCTACTACCATTTACATATTTAATCTTTGGTTTTTAATAACGTTTTCCCGCAACCTGTAGAGAAAACTTGTTCTTGTTCTTGTCAGCTCTGTTTCTGGCTGCACTTTACACTCATTCATGGTCCTACACTCATTCAAATGAAAATATCGATCGATATATCGATTGTTTCATTCGATATATCGTTTGGTAGTTAGGTTAACCTAACCTAACTAACCAAACGATATATCGAATGAACTGATCAAATAATCGATATTTTCATTCGAATGAGTGTAGGACTTCGCAGTCCTGCTTCGCTGCTTCCACCTCTGCCAACGACGACCACTTCAAAATTTTTATCTAGGTTATGTTAAGCGTTAAGGTTATTTTTGGATAATAATAACTTCTTGTACTTATTTTATTGAGTCGTTGGTTAGGTTGAGAGTTTGATACTTTGGAACTTTGGTTTAGCTTTTAGCTTGGTTAAAGTTGAAGTGAAGACCGTCACCGTCACTTTAGCACTTTACTAATCACTATGGTTATTGTTTAGCTACCGCTTTGTCGTTGCCATTAAAATTAGGTTGAAATTGTTGATTAAGCATAACATTTATTTAATTTCATCGAAGAAACTGAGATGTCATTGGTATTCCTTCTCAAGAGTAAAACACTTCTACCCAGTGAGTAGCCTAGGCTATTTTGGAATTTCTATTGCTCTTAGGTGTCTCTGATGTTAACTTGGTCTAAGTTAAATTAAGAAACTTAGCCAAACCGAAGTAGGCCTAGGCCTAAGTTAAGTGCATGATTTAAGTTATGCTAGAACTACCGGTACTATTAAGTTTTAAAGTACAATAGATATAGGCCTAGACTCAATGTCTAGTTCTAACATTAAATTCCAAACGCTAGTTTCACACTGTACGGTTTTCACCGTATGGTAAAAGAAATATTGGTAATCTATTTAGTAGTGCTAAGAAAAGCATGAGAGCTTTCACACTCCACGGGTACAGCCATGTTAAAAAAGCAGTCCACTGCCATCGAACCGTAAACTGCAGTTGTTGCCCTGTGGCTGTGCATCGTTGATGCATGTAGTTAAGCTTTCTCACTGCATGGTTTTCTGTCTAACGGGAGCCTACCATTCAGTGCACATAGATCAGCTGTTGCACAGTTAATTGTTTACAATCGGGCTTGTCAATTGGACACTGGTTAGGCTATGTTTATTTTGGCAATTTAAACACATTT